ACGTCGCGGGCTTGTTCACGTTCCGGTTCCCGTGTATTTTGGGAAGCGGGGCGTGACACTACATGTTTTTTTTTCACTTATAGCTCACAACTTGCTAAAAACGTCCATCAAAAATCAACACAAAATGAGAGAAAAAAAGGATAGAAAGCAACTCAAAAGGATGCACACATGCAGATAGGATAAATTTGAACCCAAAAGACTTCAGCTTTTCAAAAAACAAGAAGGGGCCTTATTCCCCCCCACCACCACCTCCGACCACCCCACCACCGATCCTACCACCACCAAACTCGGCCAATCCCAGCGATTCCAGCGACCCCACCCTATCCCTAGATTCCTCCAGATCTAGCGATTCCAGCGGAAGAAGAAGAGGCGGCGCGATGGTGGCGGCGGGGTCTACGACTGAGAATGAAGTCGTAGAGGTCGAGGGGAGGCGGAGGTGGAGGAGGTGGCGGCGGTGTTGGAGGTTCCCAGCGAGGTTGGAGAGAGAGGGTGGAAGAGGAGATGGGTTTGTTGGAAGAGAAGAAGAGATCTGGAGAAGGAGAGGGGTAATTTGGGGATATATTCCCTTGGGAATTGTAATTGGGGCTGAATCACACAAAGTTCTCATTTTTGGGGCTAATACACATGAAAAATAATACAGGGGGCTGGGCCACATTGTATTTTCATTTTTGGGGTCTTGAAGCAATTTTTCCTAAATTTTTTGTTGAACCAAGCACAATTTACAGAAATCTATAGAAAACTTTTAATTACAAAATTACCATTGTCAGATATTTTGAGAAAAGTTTTCTCAAAAAGTGTGCAACCAAACAGCCCCTAACCATAAAAAAGGAGTCGTTGGTCGTGCAAGGGGAGTAGAGGATAAATTATTTCCTCTTTTTTAAGATGAGGAAATGCTGGTAATGGTGGAGGAAGCCTTCCTTCCTTCTTCTTTTTTTTTACTCCGAATATATAAAAATTTTAATGCGCAAATTATTAATCCAGGCTCATCTGCTCATTTCAAAATAGAAGAAAATTTTTAAAATCGTCTCAACAGAATTTTTTTAAAAAAAAATAGACTCCATTCACTTTTAATTATAGAAATCGACTCACTTTGAGTTAATTGCGGTACTAATTAGTCGGGGTTACCAACCCCGATTAATTAGTAGTCTAATTACAAGCGGGGTTAAGGAGCGGGGAAGGTTTGTGGCTGCTAATTTGTACCATAATTAATTCAAAGCGGGTCGATTTATATAATTAAAAGTGAATGATGTCGACTTCTTAATAGAAAAAAAAAATACCGTTGAAACGATTTTAAAAATTTCTTCTTTCAAAATATCTACCCCTGGCAGGGAAGGGAACAATTAAAAAGGTAAAAGAACAAAGAGAGCAGACAAAAGTCAAGTCACAACCATGGAGCACCAGCTCCATCAACGTCATTTTCACCTCCAAGATATTTGTTTTGAGTGGGTAAGCATTCTTTCTGGCCTTCTATGATTCAGGTAAATAAAAGGAGAGCCCATCAGAATCCTGAAGCCAAAATGAAGAATATCGACGAGAGATGCCTTTGAGATCATTAACTGAGACGGCAGACGAATTTATGGAGAGCGAGAGCGAGGGCTGCTTCCATTTGTACGTGGCATCCGTCCTCCTGCTTGTGCTGGCATCTGAACCCTTTGCAGTCGCGGCTGCTGCGATAACCAGAGACGATTTCCCTCCCGGATTCATCTTTGGCGCCGGCACCTCTGCTTACCAGGTTCGAATCATACACGAAAATTTATTAATTTCTAAAGAATGGTTTTATGTCCGCGGGGAACTTTAATTTTTCTCTGGTGTTCATATCCAATAATGGGCAGCAGGTGATCTTCTTCTGTTTTTGTATTTATGTTATTTTTTTCCCCCTTCTTTGTAAAAAGTAATATTGGTAAAATACGTACACCTATGCAGTTTCTGCCCAGAGCTTGTGACTTCAAAAATTACTGAGTTTTAGGGCTTAATGTTGCTGCTACCGCACCCTGAAGAGTCAAAATATAGTTTAGAATGTTGGGACAAACCTGGGGTCTAATAGAACAGGATCGCAGTAATAGTAGAGCAAAAGTAAAGATAAAAAATTGGACACACAGATTTACGTGGTTCAACACATGATTGCCTATGTCCACGGGCAAAGGTAGAAGAATCTACTATAAGGAGAAAAACTCTGGAGTTACAAACTCTCTCTCTCTTTTTAAGGAGAAACTCTCTCTATTTTTTCTCTCTCACTTTTCTATATAAGAAGTTGTTTCTGGGATGAGATTTCCTTAAGGATTTGGAGCCTATTTATAGGATTTTGAAAAACACTATGCATAATAAAATAATAATAAATTACTATGCTATGGGGCCCGCCCTTTTGTTTTCTTTTCCTCTTTTCAACATTTGTGGCTGTGCACTTTCGGTGCTATGGCTGCTGCTTCTTTCGGTGGGTTTGAAATATTATGCGCCTGACAATCTCCCACTTGAAGATTTGATTGAGCATCAATCATATCTTCACACCATTCTTTCTATCTTGCCATCTTCATGTTGCTTACGTCTCCGACAGACCACAAGAGGATCGACACCAAGTAAATTTGTCAGTATGGACTGCTTTTGTCAAAAAATCTGCTAGGTTGTCCTTGGTGTGAATTTTCTGCATATCCACTGTTCCTTCTTCCACTTTCTCACGAACGAAGTGATACTGAACTCGAATGTGCTTGGTCTTTGAATGAAAGGATGGATTTCTTGCCAAATGTAAAGCACTCTGACTGTCACAAAATAAAGATATATTCTTTTGTTCATAACCGAGTTCCTCTAGCACTATCTTCAACCACATCGCTTTTTTACTAGCTTGTGTAGCTGTTACATATTCTGCTTCTATTGTTGAAGTAGCCACAACCGACTGTAGTTTTAAAACCCAGCTTACAGCTCCGCCAACGAGTGCAAACACATAGCCTGTGGTGAATTTGCTATTATCACGATCACCTGCATAATCAGAATCAACATATCCACTGACAATAAAATCAGATCCCCCATAACATAATGTAACATTTGAGGTTCCCTTAATGTATCTTAGGACCATCTTTACAACATTCCAATGCTCTTTAGTAGGATTCGCCATGTATCGACTAACCACTCCCACTGTTTGTGCAATATCTGGTCTTGTACAAATCATAGCAAATATTAAGCTTCCCACTGCTGATACATACGACACTCGAGACATCTCCATCCTCTTTTTTTTACTGCTAGGACTCATACTGGAGGATAACTTAAAATTAACAGGAAGTGGGGTAGAAATTGACTTACAATCTTACATGTTAAAACGCCGCAATATTTTATTTAAATAGTTCTTCTGAGAAAGCCAAATCTTCCTATTAACTCTGTCTCGGTAAATTTACATCCCTAGAATCTTGTTTGCAGATCCTAAATCCTTTATTTTAAATTCCCTAGCCAACTGAGCCTTTAATTCTTTGGTACGATTTTTGTTGGGGTCTGCAATCAACATGTTGTCAACATACAACAATAATATAACAAAGTTATTTTTACCAAACCTCTTGAAATATGCACAAGGGTTTGAATTAAGTCTGTTGTATCCAAGGCTCATGATGAATGAATTAAATATCTTATACCAACACCTCGGCGCCTGCTTTAGACCATACAGAGATTTGTTTAATCTGCAAACCAAGTTCTCTTTTTTTTTCTTCAAAAGCTTCTGGTTGGAGCATATAAATTTCTTCTTTAAGATCTCCATGAAGAAATGATGTTTTCACATCTAGCTGCTCTAGATGTAAGTCAAATATAGCGCTCATAGCCAGGACTATTCGGACTGTTGTAAGTTGAACTACAGGAGAAAATATTTCATTAAAATCAATACATTCTTTCTGAGCATATCATTTTACTACCAATCTAGCACGATATCGTTCCACTTAATCATCGTCATTTCACTTGATCTTGTAGACCCATTTGTTTCTAATGGTCTTTCTTTCTTGTGACAGTGACACAAGTTCCCAAGTCTTGTTCTTATGGAGAGCTTCAATTTCTTCCTACATTGCTACCATCCATAAAGATGCATCTATGTCATTTATAGCTTCATGAAAAGTTGATGGTTCTTCATCTTCTGTTAGAAGACAGTATGTAACATTACTCTCCGTAATATACTCCGAGTGCCAAGTCGGTGACCTTCTCTCACGAGTTGACCTTCGAGCTTCAGGAGTCTCGGACTCGACTGGTTCTTGTACATCAGGCTCCGGTGTTGCTTCAGAAGAATTCAGATTATCTTCTACCTGAACAGCTACAGTTTCTGAGTCCTTTCTCGAACTGTTTTCTTTTTCTTCACTTTATAGTTGGTTCTCTACAAAGATAACATCTCTGCTGATGATAACATTGCAAGCAGTGGGATCCTACAAGCGATACCCCTTTACTCCATCAGCATACCCCAAGAATATGTATTTTCTGGATTTTGAATCCAGCTTTGTAATTTCTTGGGCATTGTACATTACGTACACTGGACTTCCAAATATATGAAGGTTGGAATAATCAGCTGGCTTGCCAGTCCATATTTCCATCAGCGTCTTTAATTGTATTGCAGTTAATGGAGATCGATTCACCACATAACAAGCGGTTTTTACTGCTTCTGTCCAAAAGACTTTTTCCAGATTTACAGTTGCTAACATAGCTCTTGTTCTTTCCAATAGAGTTCTGTTCATCCGCTCGGTCACTCCATTTTGTTGAGGAGTATAAGCAGTGCTGAATTACCTTTTGATGCCTTCATGCTTGCAGAATGCTAGAAATTCACCCTTTGTGTATTCTCCTCCATTATCTGACCTCAAGCACTTGATCTTTTTCTCAGATTCAAGCTCGACCCGTGCTTGTGTATTCTCCTCCATTATCTGACCTCAAGCACTTGATCTTTTTCTCAGATTCAAGCTCGACCCGTGCTTTGTAGGCTTTAAAGACTGAGAACACATCCGCACTTGATCTTTTTCTCAGATTCAAGCTCGACCCGTGCTTTGTAGGCTTTAAAGACTGAGAACACATCTGCCTTCTTCTTGATTGGATACACCCAACATTTCCTTGAGTAATCATTAATAAAGGACACAAAGTACTTTGCTCCTCCTGAGGATGTAACTAATACTTGTCATACATCAGAATGAACCAGTTCCAGAATAATCTTGCTTCTAGAACTCGATGTGTTGAACTTTAGCCGATGATGTTTACTAGTAACACAATGCTCGCAGAATTGGAAGAGCTACCGAATTAAGTCCAGGAAGCAGGTTCTGATTGGAGAGAATCTTCAAGCCTCGTTCTGACATGTGGCTTAGTTTGCGATGCCACATCATGGTTTATTCTTCTCCACGTCTGGTTGATGCCACACATGAATCAGCATCCTGCATGGTCTCTCTCTTGAGTATGTACAGATATGTAGCTATCTTTTCTCCTTTTATTACCACAAGCGCCCATCTAACAATCTTCATGATCCTATTTTCGATATGGGTCTTGCACCCGAGCTCATCTAATTGTCCCAAAGATAATAGATTCTTATTCAAGCCCTTCACATGTCACACATCTTGAATGGTGCGTATTATACTATCAAATATTTTAATTTTGATAGTGCCAATACCAGAAATCTCCAATGCATGATCATTCCCCATGAATACAGATCCTCCTGAGATAAGTTCATATTTGTGAAACCATTCTCTCCGGGAAGTCATGTGTCAGGAGACTGCTGAATCCAGAAGCCAGACATCAGCAAACCTCTTTCTGCCTTCATCAACAGTGGTTGCTCCACTGAATAGAATTTCGCCATCGTTTGATGTGCTGACAACACGTCCTTGAGATGTTGATGATTCTGAAGATTTTTCTCTCCACTCTTCTTATTGTGCTAACACTCTGATTTGACGTGCTCTCTTTTGCCACAGTTGCAGCATTTGACTTTCTTCTTACTTCTTGATTTGGATCTACTATGGGTATGACTCCCACTGGAGCCACGTTCCGTTGATTTTCCTCTCGTCACCGATAAGGCTTCCGCTTGTTGCGAACTTGTCTGTCTGTCTTCCTTGTTCTTGCATCGATTTTCTTCCTCCAGAACAGCGGCTGCAACATCATCGAAGACTAGATTGTCTGTAATGATGTTGTTTATCAGGTTGATGATGAGTTGATCATACGAGTTAGGTAGACTCTGAAGTAGAAGTTCTGCACGTTCATTCGTACTAACTGTATACCCTAGCATTGTGAGTTAGGAGAACAATGTGTTTAGGATGTTGATGTGGTCGGTGATCGATGTAGATTCCGTCATCCTCAAAGTGTAAAGTCTCCTTTTTAAGAAGATTTTATTGTGTATGGATTTCGCCTCATATAGCTTTGTTAGAGTATCCCAGATCTTCTTTGGTGTCTTCTTCTCCTCTATGCTTGACAACACTCCGTCTGCTAATACCAGATGGAGATTTACAATAGCATTTTCGTCCATCTCGTTCCACTTCTTATCATCTGTGATGTCGTCCGGCCTTACACCGATGGTCGTCAGACAATTATCTTTTCTCAAGATAGTCTTTATCTTTAATTTCCACAGTAAAAAATTACTCCCGTCGAATTTCTCGATCTTGAACTTTGCCGTCATTGCTTCTACCACGAACAGTAACTTCTTGCTATTTCACTTAAATAGTAACTATATTAATGAACAGTAACCGTATTCGTGAATAGTACCATACTTTAAATAGTACCATATTTTTGAACAGTGTCGTTCTTATGAATAGTATCTGTCACCTTCAAAGGGTAAATGATAACCTAACTTATTTTCTGATGTAGAGGATCCACCTTTGGTGGTAGGCATAGAGCATATGATAAGTAGATATATACAAGCACCCTAAGTTGGCTCTGATACCACTTGTTAGGACAAACCCGAGGCCTAATAGAGCATGATCGCAATAATAGTAGAGTAAAAGTAGAGATAAAAAATTGGACACACAGATTTACGTGGTTCGACACTTGTTTGTCTATGTCCACGGGCAATGATAAAAGAATCCACTATGAGAAAAAACTCTGGAGTTACAATCTCTCTTTACAAGAAGATACTCTCTCTCTATTTTTCTCTCTTACTCTTCTATAAGAGAAGTTGTTTCTGGGATGAATTTTTCTTAAGGATTTGAAGCTATTTATAATGTTTTAAAAAATACTATGCATAATAAAATAATAATAAATTACTATGTATTTATATTATAATAATGATATGGGGTCCGCTCCTTTATCCAAAGTCAAAAACTACTGCTGCATGTGGGCGGATGGGCTTGGCTTTATTAGGCATCTTTCGGCTGACATAGAATTGATTTAAGTGTGTCGATAACCGCAAACAGTGGCAGCGGCTGATCGTATGAGACTAAAATGCTTGGTCATGGAGTATAATAATCTAGTCATCGAAGTGAAGATTGTAATCTGCACTTTTCTTCAATTTTGTTAGTATTGGATTTTTTGGTCAAAACTGCTTTCCAAAATGAGTTTTCAAACTATATATATATTAACTACAAGTACTTTTCATAACTGCTTAATAGCCTAGTGGAAAGTTTATGTTTTGGTGTTTTAAAAGGTCTATTGTTCGAGGCTTGCCAACGACAAGCCGAGAAGTGTTTTATTTGAATAATCCCTCATAAGTTCTAGTGGGTCGTGAGTCGTGAGTCGTGGGTCGTGGGTCGTGGGCCGTGGGCCGTGGGTAGTGGGCCAATGGGCCAATGGGCCGGGGATCGGGGCTAATCGGGCTGAGGCGCTAAGTGACACTTTGTTAGGCGCACTTTGCACTTCGCACTTCGCACGGAGGCATCGGGGCGAGGTACCGCTGTTTGGCGCCACGTTGGCTGCCTCGCAGGCTGCTTTGCAGCATGCGGACGAGCTACGTATTCGCATGAGGGTGACCCTAGCGTTCTCGTAGTTTGACAAGGTTCGCTCGTTTGACGAAGTTCATCTGTCATACGAGGTTCACCTGTTTGACGATGTTCGTTCGTTCGACGAGGTTCATCTGTCATACGAGGTTCGTTTGTTGACGAGGTTCGTCTGTCATACGAGGTTCGCCTGTTTGACGAGGTTCCCTCGATCGACGAGGTTTGTATGTCATACGAGGTTTGCCTGTTTGACTATATGTTCGTTCGTTCGACGAGGTTCGTCTATCATACGAGGTTCGCCTATTTGACGACGTCCGTTTGTCAAACGAGGTTCGCCTGTTTGACGAGGTTCGCTCGATCGACGAGGTTCGTATGTCATACGAGGTTCGCCTGTTTGACTATGTTCGTTCGTTCGACGAGGTTCGTCTGTCATACGAGGTTCACCTGTTTGACGACGTCCGTTTGTCAAATGAGGTTCGTCTGATTTGCTGAGACGTGACCCTCGTGTTTCGTAGCAACGCGTCCATTGATTGCCTCGTATTCAGTAGTTACCGTATGTAGCAGTTACAACAGCATTAAGGGCAATTTAATGCATTGATGTTACAATCTTAATTGTTATTAAGAATTGTAACGGTCACATTAATTGCTAATGACTCTTGAGCTGGCCTTAGAGGCCTATAAATAACGCCATTGGGCAGCTCTTAGTGGTTGTTGGAAAATCTCTCGTGAGCATGGAATACGAACGTCAGTATAGAGTACGAACGTCGGTATACCCACGCGAGCTTAGAATACGAACGTCAGATTGACGTTATTGTTGTGCTGCTGCTGCAGAACTGTGCCCGGAGGAACCCTGTAACCGAAAGGTTTTGAACCGAAAGGTTCTGAGATCGAGGAGATCTTTTGTCTTGACCGAAAGGTCTTACAGATCGAGAAGATCTTGACAATACTGGGTTGGTGCACACCAGAGTACTGTACTGCTGTTCCTGGAAGCAGTTTGGCCTTGGGATCCTTGCAGTGCACACCAGAGTACTGTACTGCTGTTCCTGGAAGCAGTTTGGCCTTGGGATCCTTGCACCGGAGTAGGCCAAATATTGCTTTAAGCACAGCGTTTCACAAACGCACAACAGTTAATTGGAAAAAGTTTAAAATAACAGCACGTCATCCTTCACTGTTTAATTCCAGATTTAACCTCAATTTCCAACAGTTAGAACTAAGCACGCTGATGAATTTTTTCCTTGTCGAATTGAAGGCGGAAGGAGCGGTTGCAGAGGATGGAAGAAAGCCCAGCATCTGGGACACCTTCGCACATGCTGGTATATATATATGTCTCGTCATAACCTACCTAAATGGTGTGGTCGTGGACTTTCGATCTATACAACCTAAATATTTCATTTCTCATTTTATAGGGTTGAACGCAGATCAGACAGCAGCAGATATAGCAGCAGATCAGTATCATAAATACAAGGTAAAGAGGCTACCTTTTATCTCCAAAAACTTCGTTCAAGGTGCACAGGTCTTTGCAAGCAGAAAAATGTTGTGTTCTTTGTTTAATGATAGGGCGATGTGAAGTTGATGCGTGATATGGGTCTGGATGCCTACAGATTCTCTATGTCCTGGTCTCGAATTATTCCTGGTATAACACATTTCCAATTTCAATTAATAGAAGCCTGCAAGCAAAAAATTGAATTATGCTCATGGTTTTCTTTCCTTGCAGACGGACGGGGACCTATAAATCCAAAAGGCTTGCAGTATTATAACAATCTAATCAATGAGCTTGTTAGCAACGGTAATATGCTGACAGAATCTAGCAATGGAATCTACTGAAACATGAACCGTTTCCAAGCCATAAAATCCTTTGAAGAGATTCAATATTGAGTTTAAAGTGCTACTAGTAATAGCTCACTTATTCATTGCAGCCTGATTTTTTTTTTTTTCAATGCTCACAGGAATAGAGCCTCATGTTACCTTGTGTCATTTTGATCTTCCACAAGCGCTGCAAGATGAGTACGAAGGATTATTGAGCCCTAGAATAGTGTAATCTTCTAACCTTACCTGTGCACTTCTATCATACACGATATCAATACAGACTGAAATCTTCAAAAAAATAAGACTTTTTAATCAAAGTGTATGTCTCATGCACATTGATATTTGAAAATCAATAGACTGAAATCTCTGAAAAATAATACTTACTAATCAAATTAATCTAATGTACATTGATATGTAAAGATCAACATGCATCCTAAGATCTAACTGCATTTTTCTGATATTGAACCAGAGAGGATTTCACTGCTTACGCCGACATATGCTTCAAAGAATTCGGTGACAGAGTGAAGAACTGGATCACTTTCAATGAACCCAACTTTGAGCCAGTCTTAGGTTATGATGTTGGAATTTTTCCACCTGCACGCTGCTCGTACCCTTTCGGTTTCAATTGCTCCGAAGGAGATTCCACAAGAGAGCCATATCAGTCTGCTCATAATTTTCTTCTATCACATGCATCAGCTGCTACATTGTACAAAGAAAAGTATCAGGTAACACAACCGCCAAAATCTATGTTCAACAATTTGGATATGAAGAAGAAATAATTTCTTGGGTTATCGTATAACAGCTAATAATTTGAATGCAGGCAGAACAAGGAGGAAAGATAGGAATTACCATCCTGGGTTTCTGGGTTTCCCCTTACACAGATTCCCAGGAGGATATTGTTGCAACACAAAGAGCGAGGGACTTCCATATAGGATGGTCAGTACTACGTCGTGTACAAATTTTTTTTTTTTTTTTGTAGTCTTGGGTTAAATGCGGATAGACCCCCTGTACTGTTGCCAAATTAAACATACTACCTCTTTAGTTCTATTGCTGCAGATAGACCTCTTGAGTGAAAATTGTTGAGCCTTTGCCGGGGATCTATCTGCAGCAACAAATTTTTGCTCTGTGTATCTATCTTCAACAACAGAACTCTTTAAGGGGGTCAATCTAAAAGAATAGAACTATGAGGGTAGTAATTTCAATTTGGCGATTGTAAATGAGGTCTATCCGCAGTTAACACTTTTCTCTCTCTTTAAGGATGTGATCGTGATTCTGTTTTGATATGGCTCAGGATCATGGATCCACTCGTGTATGGAGACTATCCTTCTCTCATGAGGGAGATTGCAGGTTCAAGACTGCCTTCATTTGATGCAAAAGAATCAAAGAAGTTAAAGGAATCGTTTGATTTTGTCGGCTTCAACCATTATGGTGTATTTTATGTGCAATCCTACCCTAATAATTATGACAAGAATGATAGGGACTACATCAAAGATCTCTCCGCGAAAGTACCAAGTAAGCTGCTAATGACCTGAACGGCCTCAAAGCTATTAGTAAATTTTTATTGTATTCCTGAAAAGAGAGAGTTATATAGCAACTGACGAGCAATATCTTTTGTCTGTTTTTAACACAGATTTCCTGACAAGGTCTCTCTCAAAGGTAGAAAATCGTGTTGTATTTTTATAGAGTTTAAGGTTTTTTCTCACTGAAAACAAACATTAATCAGGTTTTCACCATGAAAGGAAAATCTCCATTTTCCAATACCCCATGGGCTCTGCAGGAAATGCTTGAGTATGTCAAAGTAAAATACAGGAATCCTCCGATCATCATTCATGAAAATGGTAAGAACTCCTCCCCTAATGAATAACCACTTATAAGAAATTACCCCAAAATATAATAATTCTTTTTCAGGATATGGAGAATTTGATATCGGCCCAACTACCGGAAACGGTACAGCTGACAGTGACAGAGTAACCTACTTGCAGGGATATATTGAAAGCTTGCTTCAGTCTGTTAGGTATTTCTAAAATAAATTTATTTCAAAAACTTAATGAATAATGTCTAGTCATATATTCGACCAAATCACGAAACCATGTAACATATTGTTATGTGCAGAAATGGCTCAAACACAGTTGGGTATTTTGTGTGGTCATTTATAGATTGTTTCGAGCTTATGTTTGGCTACACCGCACGTTATGGACTTTATGGAGTTGATTTCAGAGGTGCAGATAGAAGCAGGTTCCCTAGGCTTTCAGCGCACTGGTATTCAAGCTTCCTGAGTAACAGAGGACTAAGAATTCAAGCATCAGATATTGTTTACACTGAGTAGAGCTTAACTCTTGAGCGATTTGTGAGACCATGATACAGAGATTATTTACACTGAGCAGAGCTCAACTGTGATTGATTTGTGATACGTATTCGTCTTTCCCCTCACTGTACTGTTTGCATTGGTAACAGGTTGTGTTGTTTCATGGAGTTATTGTTCCAAAACTCCTTTTGCATGATTAAAATAAAGTCTTTTTTCAATTACCTTTTTGGGTGGAATTGTTAGATTACAGAAAAAGAAAGCAAATATCACTTGCTCTGCTTTTAGTTTCTTCTCATGCAGGGTTAACTTATTGGTAGAAGTTTTTGAAGTAACCAATGCAATTTAAACAAATTCATATTTGTTTCTTCTGGGAGATAAAATACCAGTATGAAAATGGAGATAACAAATCAAATTATATTAGATGAAGTTGAATTTAGGCGTCAATCAGTGAAGATGTAATGAGAGATTATTGTTACTTAGAGGTTACTATATGTCTACTGACTGGACAGAAAAATGAGATAAAAGTCGTCATTGCGATAACTTATCTGACATCAAAATGCAAAAAATTATGCTGTCAAATAGTTGTACTAAAGGAAATTTCATACACCATGTTAAAGAGAAACTAATAAATTCATACATGACATTAAACTAGGCACCAAAACATGTTCTTTCATGCACGGTTTCTTTGGAATTCGTTTTAAAGAAGATACTAGCGAAAACCCATTGCATGACGAGGGGGAAAGAGAAGAGAATAATTCAAATACTGTTTGAATTGATTAACAAATTCTTAGAAATGATTTTATTTGTATAGTTATAAATGCTGAAATGAAATTGACATTGTACAAAAAGATAATACTGTGCAACATTCATTATAACAGATGTACTGAACTGTTTTGAACAAAGCTAGAGATAAAAAGTATAATGATCATACTATATCATAAGCCTATATACAAAAACAATGGATCGCTTTCATTTGAAACTAGTTACAGTTGCATCATCATCCTTCTACATTAGACTTTGTTAGACTAAAAATGTAATCCTATGCACGGAGATGAATAGGCTTCTGGCACTCTAATACATTGATCTTATGCTTGGAGACAAGAATCTTATGCGAATTATTTACTCTTCTCTCATTATTTTGGCTGGGCATATGGATAATTGTCTTATGATATTTTTACTTCAATGAGCTAATAGATTTCTTAACTGTTGGGGATTATTGGAGCACACAAACAATCACACACAATAAGAGAAAGCAAGCGCCACCAACACAAACATAAAGAGCGTTTCGTGGTTTGACAAATATGCCCTGCCTCCACTTTCACTATACTTCACAAGTCACAAGCTAATACAAGTTTTGCATGGTACAAACTTGTAAACCCTCGCTTACCTCACACCACGCTAGGAACCCGAGTACACTCTCACTCAAGAGACAAAAGAAACGGCGATACCATTTTGATGTGTTGGAGATGCACCTAGCTTACAGTCAACGGTGGCTTTGTCGACGACGGAGCCAGAGTATATGACGATTACGGAGGTTGTTAAGGAGTCTATTTGGCTTCGAAGACTTTTGGAGGAACTTTGTATATCACAGCGATCCGTCACTATTCATTGTGATAGCAAGAGTACTATCTATTTGGTGAAGAATCAGGTTTTTCATGCGAGGATGAAGCACACTGACGTTCGTCATCACTTCGTTCGAGATGTTCTTGAAGATGACGATGTGGAGATTATGAAGATCCACACGAAGGATAATCCGGCGGATATGCTCACTAAGGTGGTTCCGAGCAACAAGTTTGATCATTGTCGAAACTTGTTGCACATTCATGATTATTATGGCCGTTGACGGGCATTTGGATGAACTACGGATGGCTTGATCCCTTAGGAGAGAGGGTACGTAGGCAACTACATTGGTGTAGCCGAGTTTGGAGAGACAACGCATTGGTGCTCTTTGTTTGGTGTCGGCTTAGTTTTGGAAAAACTTCGCCGAGGTGGAGAATTGTGAAAACGGTGAAGGAATTGAGAAAAAAACGTGAAGAATAAGCAAGACAGACTCCATCACACCCTAATGGTGTCTGCTACACCTTGGTGTGGCAAGATAGGCTCCACCACACCCTGGTGGTGTCTGCCATACCCTGGTGTGGCAGAATCTGTCCTGTTTTTTAGGGGTGTGGTGTGTGCCACACCAGGGTGTGGCAGACTCGTTTTTAGAATCCTAATCTATTTGGGATTGTGTTTTGTTATAAATAGAACTACGTTTTTTAGGGTTTCTTAATGAGAGAATTAGGATTGTTTTGAACACTTTGAGAGGGAGATATTGTGAGGGAGTTGAGAGCTTTGGTTAGGGTTATATTTTAGTGATTTTGTGAGTTGTAACCCGTTATATTTCTCCTCCTTATAGTAAAGTCTTCCCATCCTCTCCCCATGGACGTAGGCAATTGCCAAACCACGTAAATTCCTGTGTTTGTGTGTGATTTTGGTCGTTATTTTGTGAATTGCACTCGTGTTTGGTTTTGGTTCTCTTCTCTCATCGCTCACCTACTCGTTTGGTTGTCGAGCACGCTTCTGCACGACGCACAACAAGTATTTCGATTGCTCACTCTCTTTAATTTGACTTTATTGGAGTTTGTAGGAAAGAGAAGCGAAAAATAAAATAAGGAAGGGATTGGGAAGGTGAGCGAAAATATGATATCTTGGTTGGGGAATTTAGTGAGGAAAATGAAGAGAAACTTGTTTCATCATGTTAGTAAGGGAGGCGAACAGAAGAAGAGTATCATAATCTCAGTTATTGAGTCACAGTAATAGATGATCAAACATCTTTTATAATTAATTATCCTCTTGTTCCCCTCTATACTCATTTGTGTGTGTGGGTGTGGGTGGTGGGTGTGTTTTTTGGTGGGGTGGGTGAGGGGTGGGGGGGGGGGGGGAAGGTGTGTGGTTGGACAAGATTTTTATGTAAATTTCCTCTCCCTTCCTTCCATCAAGCCTCTCAAACTCCCAAAAATGAACTAATAAATTCTCTTCACCTACCATCTCCTATCCTCCATTCAAACACACTATAACATAAGAAAAGGAAAACAAAAAACAAAACAAAAACATTCATTTATGTGCTTTTATTCTTCTTTCGCACTCTTATATCTCTTGTCAACTAAACTATTAAATTTGTTCTTGTTTATTTCTGACTTAGCCTCATCTTACCTTTTCAATATTAGATATCACTTTTTTATTTACCACATTAAATATTTTAAAATGGATTTATGAGAGGGAAGTTAAGCGTTCAATGATAAGATGAGACTGAAATAGTTCAACAAATTATAGATGTAGACGAATTTAATAGTTCGGTAAGCAAATGAGATTGAAAATAGTTCACAGATATGCAACGTTAGGGGATAAATAAGAACCGGAGCGAAATAAGAAAGAAGAATGCAGCAACTCACTTTGTTACGTTTCCCAATTTCTTCTTTCCTCTCAAACCCTTGATCAATGTGTGTTCCCTTTGATGCAAGGCTAATCATGAAGGCAGGGTTTAACTTATCGATAGAGAGGTTCAGAAGTAACTAATGCAACCTTTAAAGAAATTTCAACCCCTAACATGGTATTTTTCCAAACTCTAGGTTGGACGCCGATGTCTTTTAGCTATGTGATCGAATCATATAATATATTCATTAAGTCGTCTCATAAATTAAGAAGATTTTTTTATATAATCTATGTAAACATATTATTCCTAGAGCCCATAGATTAGCAGAGGTTGAATTGGTGAATATAGTCATAATATGGGTATACTTGGGCCAAGGATCCTTGGTAGTGATGTGGACACATCTTGTCCATACATCACACCTTGAAGTTGGTGAGGCTCCATCTTCAAGGTGTGATGTATGGACAAGATGTGTCCACATCACTACCAAGGCATCCTTGGTACCAAGTATATCCATTTTTCTATATATATCATATATATATATATATATGTATATATATATATATATATATATATATATATATTATTATAAGAAACATATTTTCCTTTAACTCTTTGTTTTTTCATATTTGGTTGGCATCTTGAGACATATTGAAACTAAGTAGAACGAGAATATGGCATCCGCATCATGTATATTGGTGTGAACTGTTGCGGCAGAGAAAATTTCGGCAGCACTTCGGCAGCACAATAAGAGAGTCAGATCGCAATAAGAATTCCCGTCTCACCAGAGGAGACAAGAATCTGAAGCGGATATCTCAACCAAGTGAGATATCGGCTCTTCCTGCTCATCAGTTCTAGGACTCGACCTGTCGAGGGATCCTAAAAGCTATTACAAATCACACAAAAGCAGTACAACCAATTTTTACGTGGTTCGGCAAATTGCCTACGTCCACGGGCAAGGAGGGGGGAGATTCTACTAATAGAGGGAGAGAATACAACTAGGGTTTACATAAGAATCTCACAAATAAAACCCCTCACACAAACACTCTCAAATCCCTCACAAAGCTTCTCAAAAAGGATGCACAAGAAAACCCTAAAAGAAAAGCTCTTCTTTTCTTTTCAACTGTAGCTTCCAACCTCTGTGCTCTCACCTTTTTGTCCAGCAGCGCACAAAACAGACTTGCTTCTGTTTTTAATTCCAAGCCGCAAAGCAAACCTCCCTGCTCCTTCGCACAAAAAAAAACCCTAAGGGAAATCACTTCAATATTTATTACGAAGCTTCATGCGGGTTCGTGGGCCTTTATGGCGGTTGATTGAAACCGCGTTCACGCGGCTTCGGCTCTGTTCACGCGGAAACACCAAATCATTCACTGAGTGAAATCTCTTCACGTGGGAAAGTGGCCCCCACTCTCACAATTCTCCACCTCGGCGCAGTTTTCCTAAAACTGCAGCCACACGGAAGCAACCAAATGTCCCACTGTTGTGTCCTGTACAAACACAATCCACAAATAAGTCGAGAACCCGAACGAGAGTCCAAACAATCTCACTCACCCATCAACTAATCCAATCCGGCTGCATTCTGAAAGACTGCCTACGTACTCCTCTTGCCCAAGGAATCAAGCCGAACGTAGTTCACCCAAATGGCCGCAACGGCCTCAACAATCACGATATGCAATAAGTTTCGACAATGATCAAATTGTTGCTCGGAACCACCTTAGTGACATATCCGTCGATTATCCTGTCGTGTGAGTTTCACAATTTTCACATCACCATCTTCAAGAACATCCCGAACGAAGTGATAACGAACGT